AAAAAAAACTTGCCCCATTTAGACTTACACTCTATTCATTTACTAACTGCTTGTTTTTCTTCTTTTTTTCTTCTGTTTTCTTTTTATTATACAATTAACAAAAAGCCAAAAAAAAGGCCTCTAACACTAGCTTGCTCTATTCTTTTTCTATTCTGTCGGTTTTCTTTTTATTTATTACATAATTAAAAAAAAAAAAAAACTTGCTACATGTACTGCGTTAAGCTAACTGAGACTTGTTGTAGCACTTATATATCATTGCTCTTTTGTTGATTTTGATTGCTTCCATTGTCTTCATTTGTAAGTCCATTTGGATAAAAGCATCTGCTAAATTACTAAATGTAATGTAAATATTAAGCAGCACAATTGTTTTTAAACATTAATAATCAGAAGAGATGTTTCTTGAGCACCAAATCAGCACATTAGAATGATTTCTGAAGGACCATGTGACACTGAAGTAATGGCTGCTGAAAATTCAGTGTTGCTGTCGCAGGAATAGATTACATGTTAAAGTATATTAAAAATGAAAAAGCTTACACTTTAAATTGAGATTTCACAATATTACTATAATTGTACAATATTACCCAAACTTTTGAACAGTAATGTACATAACTGTATGTTTGTTTGTTTTAATATTACTAATGTTGTATTATAAATATCAATTATGTATTCTGTAAGCTGTAATATGGTTGCAGTTGCAAAACCTTCAAGCTCTGGTATACAGCAAATGAAACCATCAGGACTACAGCTGCCAACCCGTAAAAGACTGGCTCTCAAGACACCTCAGACTACACGATCCTCTGTAGAAACCGTTCAGACTCAGCCTAGTAATAAATCGACAGGATTACCAGGTACTTTTCACTGATAGTTTTTCCTTGATGTGTATCTTCAAATTTAGTTAATATCAGGTTTGCTGGTTGCATATTTAATGCAACGTTTATACCTAGTAAATAAATACTTAAACAAAATGATTATGTAAATGAAGGGCTCTGATTTTATGTAATGCTTTGTCATTATTTCCTTTAATTTTATCTATGAAAGGTATGAGGACGAGGAGTTCACTGCTTCCCAGTGTGGGCCAAAAGCACTTGAACAATGATGGTTTGCCTTCGGCAAAGAGAAAAAGAATTGGTGCGATCATTTGTCCTTTTTTATTTACCTTTATCAATTACAGCGATGCTAACTGTACTAGTGAGACTTGATAAATAACAGAAATATATCTAATACTTTCAGAGGGTCTACAACACATTTTAACCACAACATCTTTAATAAAAACCAAACTCAAAGCCAAACAAGAATACTAATGTAATACTGATCTCTGGTGTATTTCCTCTTGTGGTGTAGGGTTACAAAATAATGCAGCATTAACTATTAACAGCAGTTAATGTATTTTGATGCAGACTAATTGTTAAAAAAATACCACTTAAAAGGTTTTCATTATACCTTTTTAAAACTATGATTTTTGTGAATGGCAATGTTTTATGTTTATTTCAAAATGAAAAGACAGGGTGTACAAAAACTTTGGGTGTATCAAAGCAACATTCAAAAACATAGTCTGTAAAATGGGGAAAATAGCCACCCGGCCTTTGCCTTAAGCCACATAGACAGATCTCAACAGGATATCTCCCAATATATCATTATTGCAAAGAAAATTCCATATTCTTGTCTGAAGCCATTGGGAAACTGGGCAAGAAAATTGAGTCATCAAACAGAGTTGTCTTGAACATTTCTTATTTGCACGATAGCTGCCTGACTACAGTAGCTGTAATCCAGACTGATTGATATCCTTGTGAAGTGCGCCGTAATTGCCTTGCTGAAAGGACTGGTGCATTTGGGAGCTTGTTGTCAAAGCCTTTTTAATTCATGCTTATAAAGCAGGGATGCTCCGATTGATCGGCTACCAATCACTATCGGCCGATAATCATGTTGGGATGATTGATCGGCGGTCTCTAAAAGTCAGATCTCAAAAAAACAATCTCAAACTGATGACACTGCCATGAGAGGTTTGGATTAACGGATTAAAGCGTTCACTGCACACGGTTGCGGTCCGGCAGTGCGTTCAGGAGCGGTGCGTCTGCAGCAGTGCAGAGATCGTTTCCGCACCAAGTCTATTTCTGCGCTGCAAGCACTGAATTAAAGTAACAGCGCATTGTTTGCAGTAAATATGAACATGACTTGACACGAAAATGTAGTAATTACACCATAAATGCATATTATTAAAGTCTACTGTGTTTCACAGTCAACACATGTGGCCTCATGCGTAGGAAAACAAAGTTCTTTATGAACCGCAGGATTGGTTGTAATAAAGATTTTAATTCAAAAGAAAGGCAGTAGAGCTGACTATTTCTGTCAATGGTAAATTTGTGATAACGTAAGAAAAGTAGTGTTAAATGTTTTGCCACTTGCTTGAGCAACTTAATATATAAATCTAGAAGTAAATGCAAAAGTAAAAAGCATTGAATAATGTGTTGCTTATATTTATTGTGCTTAAACATGTCTGTGAAAGATTGTATTACTGTACTGTGTAAAAAAAAAAAGTTGCAATGCTGAAAAATTATTTTCAGTGACAATGTTTGGATTTGAAATCAAAATAATGGGTAAATGTTGTGTTTGTGGTAAACAGCCACAGATCAGTAGCGGACTCCTCTGTGAAAGCTGCTTCTCCTTTCACAAGAGACACCTAAGAGGGGAATTCCCCCCCATTTTCAAAAATGAAATTCAGGCCCTGAATAAATGTCTAAAAATCCTGATTGGAGTATCGCTATAAATAGTTATAAATGATAAAAAGAAGGCTTTAAAAAGATCGGTATCGGTGATCGGCATCGGCAGATTCTGCTTTCTGTGATCAGCCTCACAGATCAGCACCCCTATTATAAAGTTGTGTGTGCATGTCTCCCCATTGAGTCTTTTCATTCGTTTTGAAATGGAGATTTATAGTGCTGTTCAAACTCAATTATAGGATGGTACATTGGAATCCATGCCACCATAAGAATGCATTGTATTAATTATAGATGCGAAAAAATGTATACAGCACAAAAATGCTCTTATGACATATAAATTGGTTGCATTAAACTGATCAAACATTATACGTTTAAGGAATTATAAAGTGTTGCAAAATACTATTTCTGTTTCAAATAAGGTCTGACTCTGTTATTCTGTTCATGAAAGGATCACATTTTTCACGGATCTTAGGAACAAACTGTTTTGACCATCTCAAATGTAGATTTATTAGTCATTTAATGAAGCTGCCAAATGAGGACCTTAGTGGAGTGCATTTCTCTAACTAGACCTTTGATGTACTCGTCCTCTTTTGTCCACTTCTCTCTATCTCTCCTCCATCCTGGTTTGGTCAAGTTTGCCAATTAAGAGCCACTTTCAACTGTGCTAACATAAGATGAAAGTTTTCTCTTGTACCACATGATTAGGTGACACACTGTTGACAATGGGCTTCATTAGTAAAGAGAAAGCCCTGTATGGTAAAAACTTGCAGCATTTGTAATGTTTAGACGTTTTTCCAGTAACAAAAATCTTGACTAGACAAGACCTTTTGTAGCAAATGCGTTTGAAATATTATGGCTTTTATTTTCGAATCTCCGATCTGATGTATTTCGTGTGTTTGTGTCTATAGCACCTGCTCTGTCTGCAGTAGAGAGCAATGCTGTGCATGCAGCTGAAGGAGCGCATAAACCAGGTGAATTTAGATGGTGGTTATCATAGTGATCATGCAGTACATTTTCAAATTCAGTGTCTTATATTTTTAAACCTATTAATCTCTTTAACCCCCCCCCCCCCC